CTCGATGTTGGATATCTCTTTGTGCCTTTGCCTGTGTCCCTCTTGGGACTGGCAGGTGTCTGTGTGCCCCCCTGGCCACCCACCTGTGTCCCAGTGGGGTCCTGGATGACACTGACTAGCTATGGGAGTGAGCTGAGCCCCTGCCCGGACAGTCAGGGCTTTGTGGAGCTCCTTTTCTTGGAGCCCTCCTTGCTGAGGCTTGAGAGAAGTGATTCCAAGCCGCTCCGTGTGCCCCCTCCCCTGGGAGAAGTGCCCAGCCCTGTGCCAGCAGAGTCTGGCACTCCCCTCCCCACGGGCACGTCTGTGCTCGGCACAAACTGGGTGGTTCAAGAGTCCCTCCCAGCCCAGCCTGGCTTTATCAGCCCCACGGAGGGATGGTTGCTTTGTTGCTGTGCTCAGATAAGGAACAGCAAAGTACCCCTGAACTGAAGGGATGACCTGGATGCTGCTCCCGGACCCTGGTGGTTTGGGGGTGGTGATAGGGTATCTGCCCCACTCACCCTGGCAGTGCTGAGGTCCTGGCACTGTCCTGCTGGGAGTTTAGGACCTGACGAGCTGCACCTTGGAGTGAGGAGCAGTTAACAGTGGAGCACTCAGCTCCGGAGCTTCTGATCCACTAGAGGCAGCGGAAGGAACACTCCAGTGTGGAATGGGAGCCCTCGGGACTCCCCCAGCCCTGCCCTCCTGCTCACTGCTCCTCTCCTTCCCCTTGCAGAGCACTACAAACACCACTGGTTCCCCGAGAAACCCTTCAAAGGCTCCGGGTATCGCTGCATCCGCATCAACCACAAAATGGACCCCATAATCAGCAAGGCAGCGAGCCAGATCGGACTGAGCCTGCCCCAGCTCTACCAGCTGCTGCCCAGCGAGCTGACACTCTGGGTGGATCCCTACGAGGTGTCCTACCGCATCGGCGAGGACGGATCCATCTGTGTGTTGTACGAGGCCAGCAAACCCCCCAGCTCCTATGGCATGCTCACCTGCAAGAACCAGATGATGCTGGGGCGCACCAGCCCCTCCAAAAACTACGTCATGACTGTCTCCAGCTAAAGCCTCCTCCTGTCCTCACACTGCCAAGACACGGGCTACTGTATACCTCACCCCGAGGATCTATTTTTAAGATGAAGAGCTATTTATATTTTTTAAAAAAATCCAAGAAAACCCAAAATTAAAATGTCAGGCGCCGCCCTGGAACAGAGGTGGTGCCCCAGGTGCCTTCTGAAAGCTGTTGCAAGCTTGTGAGTTTTTATTACGAAGCCGATATCTACCTAATTAGTGTTGGATGGCAGTTCTGGGCTGGCTTGGAATGGAGGCTGAGGGGGAAGAGCCAGGCTGGGAAGTGTGGCTGGTGGTGGAAGATGTGTCACCTCCTCCCCATCCTGGTTCCCAGCACCGGTGCAGTGTCGCCAGGTGTTGCAATAGTGCTGGAGAAGGGATGGAGGAGGTGCTGTCTGTCCTCCACTGCTTCACTCCCCAGCTGGTCTCATCTCTCTGGGGCCTGGATGTAGTTTTGGGGGAGCCTTGCCTCGGGGCTGGGCACTCTGGGATCCCTCTCTGCTCTCACACATCTTCTGGACCTACTTTGTGCATGTTGCAGCTCTGCTCTGCCCCACTCCCAGCACGGAGCGAGGGGAGCTTGGCCTGTCTCCATCCCCTCCACCTTTCCTGTCCACTGCTGGACTGGGAGGGACCACACTGGAAGTGGAGCAAGGCAGAGGTGTACTGGGGGTGCAGAGGAGGTCCCTGAGATGACAGGTGCAGCTGCTGTGGTGGCTGTTCTGGTGCTCCCCAGGCCGTGGCTGTCGCCCACACTCGGAGCAGTGCTCCAACCCCCGAAACCAGCACTGAACAGCTGTGAATTACAAAGCCTTTCTGCTCTGGCTGGCTGAGACAGCAGCCCACAACCTGCCCCTGTGTGGCCTCTCAGTGCTCCAGGGGCAGGGGCTGCCTCCTCCTGCTTGCACAAGTTGCCTAATCCTGAGGACTTGCTGTGTCACTTCTCCAGAAGAGCTGAAAGCAACTCACCTTGTGCCATGGAGGTTGGTGTGTCAGAACCCCCTTTGCTGTTCTGGCTCTGAAAGTATTGGGGAGCTCTTCTCCCTGTGTGTGTGGGATGCTCAGCTGCTTTGGTGTCCTAACATTGCTTTTAACCTCCCAGCACTTCCCTCTCCTCCTCCCCTGGCCCTGGGACCTGTCTCCACTGATCCCTTGGTGAGGGCATTGGTTGGTTCACGTCTCTTGGTACGGAACTTTTGCACAATTAATGCCTTGTCCCATGCTCTGCCTGTTCCAGCAAAACTCCTTGTGCAGTCCCAGTGGTAGCTGTATTCAGGGACACTTTGCCCAGGTGTTGTTCAGGATTTGGCCTTTAAACTATAAATGTGGTGAGAGCTAAAGGGCTGCCCTAAACCTCCCTCACCTGGTGGGAAAGGGCCTTTTTGGGGATGTTGCATGTCCTTTTCACCTCTTCACTAACCCACTGGTGCTCCCCCAGTGCTGCTGGGAGCAGGGCCTGGGGCAGCAGGGCATTGGCATGGTTGGTTGTAGCAAAACTTCCCAGATTTGGCTCTCAGCACACTTTGAACCTTCCTCTTCCCTGATGTGGCAGCTGACTGGCAAACCCGGAGTTGTTCCTGCCCAGCCTATGATGAATCAAGTTCTCAGACATTTGTGCAATATGTTTTCAAATCTTGGGCTCTCTGGGAGGGGAAGGAAGTTCCCATCTGTCACAGCTCTTAGCTTGGTCTGTAATCTGTTCGATCATCCGGCACAGCCTCCCAACTCTGACTGCTAACATGGAACTGTAAATTCAGACTCTTGGAAGCTTCAAGTCATCAATTCCAAAACTGGAAAATTAGCCTCAATTCTTCAGTCCTTTCTAAAATGTCGAGTGGTTGTTTGTCCTTGAGCAGTGGGAGCAGAGTGTGGCTCTGGAGTTGCATCACCTCCCTCTGCACCACTTGAATTTCTCCTGTCAGCAAAGCAGAAGCTAAACGAGGCACTGGGGCCTTCCCCATGGTGAACTTGTGCAATAGGTGACCTCACTCAAGGGGGAGTGTTTGGGAACTTCCAAAAGCCAATTCCCTTTTCAGGGAAAAGGGATCTCAGTGCTTCTTGGAGTCCTCACTTAACCTGCTTACATGGAAAACCCATGATGACCTGCATCCAGGAGGAGCAGCAGTGGCTCCTGGCTGGATGTGGAGGTTCCTGAAGGCTGGTACTTCCTTGGGTTCTAATTTGTCATGATCAAAGCAGTTTTAAGGTTCACACCTCCCTTTTTCCTCTCTTCCCTCCCTCTTCCCAGAGAAGTTTTCCAGGAACAACAGCCCCCACCAAAGGAATACACTAGACCTGCTCTTACCCCCCACATCCAGAACCAAAACAGCCTCATTGTCCCTGCTGTGGAGGAGCCTCATGTTAAAGGTGTCTGTTTCTAGCCTCAAAACCAACCAAATGTGGGTGTGATCCATTTCTCCCTTGTAGCTGGTTACATGTCAAAGCTGTGAATTCGTGTGCTCTGTTGCCTTCTGCCTCCAAGCCTGATGCTCCCTGCAGAGCTGAGGGATGTGGGTGTTCGGACAGTGGATTTTGAGGGCTTGTCTGTCTTTTTTTTTTTAACCAAGCTGGACTGTTGAACGGGACCTGCTTTTTTGTACTTGGGGAAAATGGAAGTGTGTAAGCCTCAGAGGAGGGAGTGGATGGTTCCTAGTGTACAGTAGGGTTTTATACACAGAGTGTACAGATCTCTGCCAGATGGATGCTTTTGTTACTTTAATAAAAATGTAGCATTATAACCAAGCCTTTGTTGTTGCTGGGAGCTATGGAGAGGGTGAAGGTTGGGACTGCAGCCCCAGTCCCACACTGGGAGCTATGGAGAGGGTGAGGGTTGGGACTGCAGCCCCAGTCCCAAACTGGGAGGGCTGTGGGTTGGGGTGGAGTGTGGGTGAGTGAATATCCGGCAGCGTCACAACAGCAAAAAGCTGCTTAGTCAACATGCTGACTATAAACCTGACCCTCCAGACTCCAGGAATTAAGGCTGGGAATTGGTTTGATGACTAATGCAGAGCTTGTGTGTGTCCTGCCCTCTTCTTCCCCATGCTGGGCTCTGGCTTGGGCAGCAGGGGATTTATTCCAGTCTGGATTGTGGAAATCCTGTGTCCTGCCAGGGCAGGAGGGTGTTACATACCCACCTGCCAGATCCCTTACCCAACCCTAGGAACAGCTTCGATGGCATCTTGGAAAGAAGGGATTAATGACCCGAGGGAGCCGTGGGGCAGTTCCTGGGGAAACCTCCCTGCCCCCACTGCCCTTCCAGGGCTGAGGAAGGGTGAGAGATCACTGGATAGCAATGTTCAGGCATGTGGAGGATGCTCTGGGCTCGTCATGATAAAGGCACCCAGGGCTGAGTCATGGCAGATCCTGTTTTGGCTGTGTGGGGAGTTTGGTGACCACACAGGGAGCTGTGACCCCTCTCTCCAATCTGGGGACCCCTCTCTGCACCCCTCTGTGAGCACACCTGGCTTAAGGACCTTGGCCAAATCAGCCTGTGATAGTTTTAGTCCCAAACTCCATTTTTCTGGTGTTCAGGAGGACTCGAGTGAGCCTGGCAGGGTCCCTGTGAGCCACCCCGACCTGCTCCCTGTGCCCTCCTGGGGCTGCCAAGGGGGGCACAGCCCTGATCCCACCTCTCTCCCTGGATGGGGCAAAGCAGCTCCTCCTCTCCTGTTTGTCTCCAAACACACCACCACCAAGAGGAAAACAATTTGTGGGCGGATTTGGGTGCTGGGTCAAAGCCGCTCCTGTTTGAGCTCAGCCCTTCATTAGTTTCCACAAACACACCCAAATTGCTGCTGCTTGTGAAACTGGGCTGGCAGGGAGGAATGGGCTGTTCAGGTGCTGATTAGCTGGGGAGTCACCGGGTTCAAAGGCTCAGGGAAGTCAGATGATGGTGGCCTTCCTCCCTCTGGCTCCTAGGGCTGCGTGCTGTGCTCCACAGCCTTTCCCAGCCTGGCACTGCCCCTGCCCCAGCATGCTGGGCCAGCAGGCAGAGCCAGGATCACCTTAAATTTGGGTTGCTCACAGCCAAGATAAAAATACAGCTCTTACAGCATGGAGCAGTGTGAGGAGTCACAGCCACGTCCCCTTGGCCCTGGGTCCGTGACGGAGCTGCTATTTCTGTTCTGCTTGTCATTGTTGTTCTGGTAGGCTCAGGATTCCTGGGGATGAGCTGGGTCAGCTTGAGGGTGTATCTGTGTCTGTCCCCCCAAGCCCTTTCTTGGCCTTTTTGGGATCCCTGAGCACATCCCAGGGAATGTGGAGGCACAGAGTGTGCACTGGGGACCTGTCTGTCCCCACGGGGTGTGCCTGAAGCTGCTCTGGAAGGGACTGAAAGTAGCTAAATCCACACTCCTCCACCTGTGGGAATCTGGGCTGCTTTTCTGCTCCTGGCTTTCTGTGGGGATTTTGTTTGATCCAGGCTGGGCAGGGAAGTGTCCCATCCCAGGAGCCTGGGGCAGGCACTAATCAGAGATCTGTGTGTTGCATAAAGGAGTGTTTGCCTTTGACGTGTCCTCGCTGAGAGCTCAGCCCTTTCTTTGTCTGCCAGACCTGCCTGCACACCTGGCTGCTCCCCAGCACCCCTGGAGAGAGGAGCACAGAGGGTCCAGGACTGCCCCAGTGTGTGTGAATCCCACCTAACCAAGGCACCCCTGGGCCCAGGAGGGTGTTCTCTTTGGCTCATGGCAACATGTTTATTTCTGGGTGCCTGTGCTCCCCTTCCCTGGGGTCCCTTGAACAAAAATTGGGTGTTTCTCAGTTCTAAGTTACTAGAAAAGCAACATCAACATTTAGGATGTGAAAGTGCTCGTTGGGGTTATTTCTGCCTTTCCCACAGAAGCCAAACCTCAGCCCCCATCGGTCCTGGAGTTACATCCCAACCTCAAAGCACCTCCCCCCTGCCCAGCCTGGAGCTGGGAAGAGAGACTGGTCCCTTCCCAACGGGACAGGCTGCTCAGAAGGGAGATGAGTGGGGATAGGGATGGCACTGTGAC